CACCACGTCTGATGTCAGGTGAGTCCATTACGGTAGCAATCCTCTTCAGGGCTAGTTGGTGGGGCTGCCCAAACTTCTCATTGAGAGCCATCATAGTATCTGTGAAGGGTGTTGGGGAGTGGAGGTATGCTTCAGCTACCAACCTGGCATCCTCCAGCTTTAGGTGATCCAACAAAACTTGATATTTAAACAGCTCTGTACTCTCAGGGGGTAATAAGTTCTCCAGGGCCATCTTAAGGTGGGCAAACTCACAAAGGTCTCGATGTGAGAGATGTGGTATGGATGGTCGCGGCCCCCGGTAGGTGGTGTCTGCACTGAGACTTGGATAAAGTGGACCAACTTGTGTTGGCATTGTAGTCCTGGACTCAGGATGTACATGTTGAGGAGGTGGTGGGTATATAACAGGCTGAGAACTAATGTTGTTTAGGTTTACAGGCCCACCATTTGGTGTGGAGGTTAGTCTTGTGACATGTGGAGCTGAATGAGATGATGAATACTGAAGTGGAGGTCCTGGGTGTGCAGGACCATTGTTTGGGAGGGTGAATCCAGGGTGCTTATGCCTGGAGGAAGGTGGCAATAGAGGGCTTAGAGAGGACTTACCCAGGTTGGCTGTTAGAGCTTCATCCTTTAGAATTTGTAGCTCACTCATCATTTTATCCAAGCGTCCCAACATAGGTTGACTGTTTAGCTCTTTCTCATCCTCCACTAAGCAAGGTGGTGGTGGAGGTGGCCATTCTTCATCCTCGTTGTCACCAGGCTCAGGAGGGTTGGCAGCTGCTGCTTGTTTGAGTYGATTCTGTGTGAGATTCTGAGAAGTGTTCATCAGCTGTAGGATGTCTGTCTGTAATGCTCGTAAATCTGCCAGGTTTGATGCCATATGCTGTTGTGATCTCTGGAGGAGCAGCCTTTCATGTCGTAGTTCCTCTAGTTCTGCTCTCAAGGCTGTATCACTACCCCTTCTAGGTGAAAAACTGCTGTGAGGATTTGTCCTGCTCCAAACCCTCTCCTGTTCTTCTTCTGTGTGTTGCTGCCAGGCTAGAGACTCCTCTTGCTCATGTAGTAGGCTCCCAAGTCCATAGCCCTTCTCTCTATCATGGAAGGCAGAATCTTTAGTAAATGATGCGAGGGAAGGAGCAGCATATGAGGAGGTGAGGGGGGTCATCTTGGCCAATCCCTCCTGGTGAATCATCCTATGCCGTTCTGATCCATGCTTGGGAGAGTTGAGATACTTGGGATCAACATCATAATCTTTGTAGCGGAGAGGAGGGCGAACATGGYGTCGTGGACGTGCACCATAAGCTTCAAAATCCTGATCGTCATCCATCTTGATTAGGGTAAGGACTGTGACTATCCGGCTCGAAGGACCATTAATGTAGGTGAGATAACTCTCTTGTATTAAGACTGTAAGGCACTAGTTGTATTTTCTCACAGCTCTCAACCTGGAGTGTCGGCCAGAACACTACTTCAAGGCCAGGATGGTGCAGGATCTCAAATGATTCACAAGCAGCACTTCAGCAGAGAATAACAAGGAGGACACTATGCAGATTTCCATGTAACTTCTGTATTTAGAACAGTTGCAGTGAACAGGGGTACAGGCCTCCATGAAGGTAAAACATAGGTAAATGTATGTGTGTGCATGTGTGTGTATGTGTATGTATTTATTTGTATGTGTGGTTTCTTGTCAATAACGCACACTCAGGAAATGCACTTTAGCTGACAGCATGTTCTT